AGTGTATGTGTGTGTCCACACTCTCTCTCTCTGCCAGGCAGCCGAGAGAGAGAGAGATAATCATTGGGCCTGCGGAAAGTGAGCAGGCTGGAAAAGCGTTTCTACTTCATGCCACAGCAGAGCGCGCACGGCACGGCTGACAAAGAGGTCCACGCGCCCCCACCCAGTCGGCCCGGGTGAACCCTAATGACCCTTATAGCTCACTGACGGCCTGGCGTTGGCCCTGGGGCTGACTAGACTGTACTGGGTAAACAAACAATGTAATGGGCTGACGTGTGTGAATAATGGCTGTCTTTCTGGTTGTTTTATTGTTTGCTTTTATAAGGGTTCTAGACTATTCAATGCCGATGTTCATCCATCAGGCTATAGTATTGCATTTCTGCCTCCCTTCCTCCCTCTGCGTGATACAAACAGTCAGCTGTCAAATACAAAACAAGCCTTCGGCCATGTAGTTAACCAGAATCTATACAGCAACTGTTTCCTTTTATCACTGTGTGGAGATAGAATGGCTGATCATGCAATCACACTGTCACTGCAGGTTAGCCTGACTGGAGAGCCATTGAACTACAAGGAACTAACACGTAAAGCATCTCGTGTTGTTTCTCACATCATACTTGCAAGTACTGTGACAAATAAATGCATGCTCAGATGTAGTGCACCACCCACCCACTCACACACACACACACACACACACACAGGCTGCTTTAGGCAACACTGATGTCCAGAGAAGGAATCAGTCTCCTCTGTTCAGCCCTGCCTGTCACTAGACTGCAGAGAGGGAGGGGGGGATTTACTGCGCTGCTGAGTCATGGCTTGGGGCTAGGGCTGAGTCATGGCTAGGGGCTAGAGCTGAGTCATGGCTAGGGCTGAGTCATGGCTAGGGGCTAGGGCTGCAAAAACAACCAAAGGACCCCATACAACACAAAACACACATACACACTTACACTTTAGGACAGGCAGTAGATAAGGGACAATAGAGAGAAAATAACCAATATAGAGTAATATGGAGATATATCAACACCTGTTTAATATGGAGATATATCAACACCTGTTTAATATGGAGATATATCAACACCTGTTTAATATGGAGATATATCAACACCTGTTTAATATGGAGATATATCAACACCTGTTTAATATGGAGATATATCAACACCTGTTTAATATGGAGATATATCAACACCTGTTTAATATGGAGATATATCAACACTTGTTTAATATGGAGATATATGGTGATATATGGAGATACAGTGGGGGAAAAAAGTATTTAGTCAGCCACCAATTGTGCAAGTTCTCCCACTTAAAAAGATGAGAGAGGCCTGTAATTTTCATCATAGGTACACGTCAACTATGACAGACAAAATGAGAAAAGAAAATCCAGAAAATCACATTGTAGGATTTTTTATGAATTTATTTGCAAATTATGGTGGAAAATAAGTATTTGGTCACCTACAAACAAGCAAGATTTCTGGTTCTCACAGACCTTTAACTTCTTCTTTAAGAGGCTCCTCTGTCCTCCACTTGTTACCTGTATTAATGGCACCTGTTTGAACTTGTTATCAGTATAAAAGACACCTGTCCACAACCTCAAACAGTCACACTCCAAACTCCACAATGGCCAAGACCAAAGAGCTGTCAAAGGACACCAGAAACAAAATTGTAGACCTGCACCAGGCTGGGAAGACTGAATCTGCAATAGGTAAGCAGCTTGGTTTGAAGAAATCAACTGTGGGAGCAATTATTAGGAAATGGAAGACATACAAGACCACTGATAATCTCCCTCGATCTGGGGCTCCACGCAAGATCTCACCCCGTGGGGTCAAAATGATCACAAGAACGGTGAGCAAAAATCCCAGAACCACACGGGGGGACCTAGTGAATGACCTGCAGAGAGCTGGGACCAAAGTAACAAAGCCTACCATCAGTAACACACTACACCGCCAGGGACTCAAATCCTACAGTGCCAGACGTGTCCCCCTGCTTAAGCCAGTACATGTCCAGGCCCGTCTGAAGTTTGCTAGAGTGCATTTGGATGATCCAGAAGAGGATTGGGAGAATGTCATATGGTCAGATGAAACCAAAATAGAACTTTTTGGTAAAAACTCAACTCGTCGTGTTTGGAGGACAAAGAATGCTGAGTTGCATCCAAAGAACACCATACCTACTGTGAAGCATGGGGGTGGAAACATCATGCTTTGGGGCTGTTTTTCTGCAAAGGGACCAGGACGACTGATCCGTGTAAAGGAAAGAATGAATGGGGCCATGTATCGTGAGATTTTGAGTGAAAACCTCCTTCCATCAGCAAGGGCATTGAAGATGAAACGTGGCTGGGTCTTTCAGCATGACAATGATCCCAAACACACCGCCCGGGCAACGAAGGAGTGGCTTCGTAAGAAGCATTTCAAGGTCCTGGAGTGGCCTAGCCAGTCTCCAGATCTCAACCCCATAGAAAATCTTTGGAGGGAGTTGAAAGTCCGTGTTGCCCAGCGACAGCCCCAAAACATCACTGCTCTAGAGGAGATCTGCATGGAGGAATGGGCCAAAATACCAGCAACAGTGTGTGAAAACCTTGTGAAGACTTACAGAAAATGTTTGACCTGTGTCATTGCCAACAAAGGGTATATAACAAAGTATTGAGAAACTTTTGTTATTGACCAAATACTTATTTTCCACCATAATTTGCAAATAAATTCATTAAAATTCCTACAATGTGATTTTCTGGATTTTTTTCTTCTCATTTTGTCTGTCATAGTTGACGTGTACCTATGATGAAAATTACAGGCCTCTCTCATTTTTTTAAGTGGGAGAACTTGCACAATTGGTGGCTGACTAAATACTTTTTTTCCCCACTGTATATGGTGGTCCTCTGTAGCTCAATTGGTAGAGCATGGCGGTTGTAACGCCAGGGTAGTGGGTTCGATCCCCGGGACCACCCATATGTAAAAATGTATGCACACATGACTGTAAGTCGCTTTGGATAAAAGCGTCTGCTAAATGGCTTTTTATTATTATATTATATCAACACCTGTTTAATATGGAGATGGTTCAACACCTGTTTAATATGGAGATGGACCAACACCTGTTTAATATGGACAGTTTAAGATGAGGGCACTGGGATGTAACAGTAATTGTATCAGCAGCAACAATAGAGCCTCATCTATCCTAGCATACTGTACTCGGTAACAAGAAACCCTCATCTGAACGAATGGCACTCATACTAATACTGAGTGCTGTGTTGAATCAGGTCAGTGCACATATAATGTCATTGAGGCTGAATACAGACTATATAATGTCATTGAGGCTGAATACAGACTATATAATGTCATTGAGGCTGAATACAGACTATAATGGGATTCGCAGGTAGCCTGGTGGGTAGGAGCAGTGTTGGGCCAGTAAACGAAAGGTTGCTGGATCGAATCCCCGAGCTGACATGGAAAAAATTTGCCATTTTGAGCAAGGCAGTTAACCCACTGTTCCCCGGGCGCCGATGACGTGGATGTTGATTAAGGCAGCCCTCCTGCACCTGAATCAGAGGAGTTGGGTTAAATGCGGAAGACACATTTCAGTTGAATGCATTCAGTTGTACAACTGACTAGGTATCTCCCTTTCTACTGTTCAGATTGTAGTGGGCACACCAACTCAGTATTGACAGAGAGAGGCAGAGTGGGGGGATGAAAATATGAAATGTGAAGGCCAAAATAAAATACTCTTCTTCTATGAATAATGAATGAGGCAGCTTTTATTTCTCTCCATCCACGGCCGGCTGCTATCCAAATTCCCCTCAGACTTAGGAGAGGTCAGAGAAGAGAGCGAGAGACTCGACTACACAGTGCTCAGACTCAGGAGGCGGGACTTAAACACAAACCAGCCACATTTGAGTCATTTCTTCTAGATGTCATTGGGAGAGACCACCTGCTGATGTTTCCCCTTTCACCACCTTGCCTCCAATCTGACCCTTGCCTTCCCACGATCACCACCACGGCCTACACCCCATCGCTCCCCAGTACCATCGCTCCCCAGTACCAGCCACATCCCTTCATTCATCCCTCTTTCTCCACCATGTCTTTGTTAGCCTGACATGAACAGAAACAGACCTGGAAAACCTAAACCGTTCCACACACACACACAAGTTGTGTCTGTTCTGTCTGAGTGTAAAAGGACAAGTGAGGACAGACATAAGTCAACACCCTCAAAACAGTGTCTTTACACTCCTATTAATGAACATAATCAATAATCTCTAGGATGTTATGAAAGAAAAGAAAATCCGCTGCATGATAATATGTGTGTCGGATTAATCAATATTAAATACAAGAGTAAGATACGTTTCAGAATTCATTTGAATATTTATCTTCTCTGGGGTCCAATGCAAAAATAAAACTGCTAAACAGCATAATTCATAGGATGCTGAGTTTGAGGGAAAACAAGCGCTAAACAAAATAAGCTTTTCCGTATCAAATATAAGAGATTAAGTCTAAGGGGATGTGATTGCCTCAGTATGTCAGTGGAAAATGCTGGAGACATCGGAGTACTGTAAGCTCCCCTTTCCCATAGTGCAGTAATAACTGACTGTAAGAAACAACAACAACAAACAGAATATGCTTGTGTGTGTTTATACATGTGTGAGTGTGTGTGTGTGTGTGTGTGTGTGTGTGTGTATGTGTGTGTGTGTGTTTGTATGTATATGTGTGTGTGTGTTTGTATGTGTGTGTGTGTATGTGTATGTGTGTGCGTGGGTGGGTGGGTGTGTGTGTGTGTGTGTGTGTGTGTGTGTGTGTGGGTGTGTGCGTGTGTGTGTGGGCGTGTGTGTGTGTGTATGTGTGTAGGTCCAGTTTCAGGCGGTGCATCGGCTGCTTCTGCTCACCATTTGTCCTTTTCCCATTCACACCCCTTGCCATCTATCCCCTGTACAGCATGTCTTCCTGCAACTCCCCTCCAGCCCAATAGGGGTGCTACAACCCCCTCCACCCCACTAGGGGTGCTGCAACCCCCTACAGCCAACACTAGGACTCACCAAGATCCTTAGAGCCTTGACTTTTGCTGGCCATCTCTCCCATCCTCACCAGTGCCTCGAAGTAGCCCTTTGCAGCAAATGTGACACCTGGAAACATGGAAGCATTGGGCATCAGATCAGGGGCGGAGTGGAAATATTGGACATTAAAGTCTTCTTCACCCCATCATCCCTCCCCTATAGCTATAGCCCCAGTCAGTTAGGGAAAGGGCTAAAGGCTACTATAGGCTATAATGGAAAGGGCTAATGCTACTACAGGCTACAATGGAAAGGGCTAGGAACTACTGATGGATAGAGCAGATGCTGGATGGGAAGAGGAACTACAGGAAATACAGACCAGAGAAAGCTAGGAAAGACCAGGGAAGTCAAGATAGACCAGTCTTAACAACTGCAAAACTTTAAAAACATAATATGACAACCATCCTAACTTTCAAGGTGATTCATAGGCTACTGCAATGCAAATTAAGCCAGTGTGCTCCTTTAGACTGTTACTCATGCAGAGCGACAGAGACACTAACTGAAACATCTACTAGTAACTCAGGTCTCAGTCCAGGGACAGGGACAGGGACAGGGACAGGGACAGGGACAGGGAACACAGAGCAGACACGGTCCACCTGCCTTAGTCCTGCCACAGACAGCTAGCAGCAGTGAATAGTAAGTTATGGTGATTAAGGTCAGGAGTGAGCTACCTAAGGAGTTGCTGTCTTAATGAGGGGACAGGATGTCCAGTAAGGAGATAGATGGATACATATGGATGAGACTAGCTGACTCTACTCTGAGTGTATCAACTTTGACTGATACATATTGATGTGGAGTGTCAGGGCTTTATTGAACCTGGTCATGTATGCGGTCTAAACATGATTGTTACCGCATAGTTTCTTAGTTAATTCAATGTAAATACTAGTTAAGTGCCATCTTAAACCAGGCTGTTAAAAATAAATTGTTACTCAAATATATCCTGACTCTAAATGGGAAGCAATTCAAATCTGTTCATCTAGTTGAGTTTTCTACAGTAATGCAATCATTTGGGAATAATCCCCAGAAATGCAGACCACAAGCTGATGCTACATTATTACATTCCTTTTCACTCCAAACACGTTCAGATAGAAATGAGCTGTCTCAGTCTCCATTTCTACCTCTCTCCCTGACGACCGTTTCACAAGCCTCCGTCTGCACTCATTTCCTTCCGTAATCTTTCCTTTCCTTTCCTTTATTAATCATTCTTTCCATTCTCTACATTAATCAGAATCCTTATCCCGGGGTCACTCTGAACTGATAACAACCCACACGAACACCCCAGCCTCCAGAGCCTAAAGCTGACTGCCTACTCCACTGTACCATGAGACTGACACGGACCGATTACTACCAGGAAGAGAGTCCGTCTCTCTGCTCTTCCTGAGCCCAGCTTTGGTTAAGGCTGGGTGGGATAGGAGAGTGAGTGTGAGGGGACAGAACTGGGATTGTGCGGTACGGTAACACCTTGTGTGGATGGGCTAATTTAGCGATGTCCAGAGAAATCCCAGCCAGCGAGGAGCGGTGGAGTGTGGCAGGCCAGGTAAGGCTGGATTAACTGGGACGAGATCTGAGAACTTTGCTGGCTGGGGGATTGTGTGTGTGTTTAGTAAAGAAGATTAAACTTCTGATATGAAGCAGATAGCTGATAGTATACAGACTGGAGGTGAGACACGCCATCCATTCCTCCCACCTATTCTAGGAGGAGTAAAACCGGTATAAACCAGATCAGCTGCAGCTTGATGTGTTACGTACTCCATCCATCTTCAACTCCCTCTTTTCCAAATCCACCACCCAACCCCCTTCTCTCTCACGATCCTTCCCTCCCTCTACTCCTTTATCAAATCCCTTCAGCCCTCACACTCCACCTCTTTTCTTGTTCTCTCCTCCATCTCTCCAACACAGCTGGTCTCTCCGCCCCACCTTCAACATGATGCCCAGTTTGGTTGTGTGTTGTGTGACGTTGCCCCACCTTCTATCGCCGGTTCCAAAGCTCATTGATAAACAGAATACCTGGCTAAATACCAGTCAAAGCATTGCATCCTATTCAAGCACTACATCCACTGCACACTATCCTATCCTCCAAAATCAAACACTCCTCAAACTGATCAAACAGCAGCTCCTCTGAGGAGAACTAGCAGCAGGGAGCTCTCTCCCTGGACTGAACCATTATGTCAGTCAAAAAAGCTCCAGGGACCTCCAGTTAAGTCCAGCACCACCTCTCCTTCCTCTATATTGCTTTTATGGGTTCCCCCTTCTCATCCTAAGAGCAAAGGCAGAACTGGCATATTTAAAATTCCAGCTAACGGATGGATGCCCACCAGGCACCCTGTGGTGTGTTGACTGCTGACTGTGCCCTGTGCCTCTGCAACGGCAGCCCGAGCCAGAACCCCAGTCCATGTGCCTGCCTGGCTGCCAGGCATTGATGAAGTACAATTCCCCACCTGGGAGCTGTTTGGTTATTTTTAGTCTTATCTATCAGGCTACACTGACTCCTCCTTTATTGGTCCTCAGGGCTTCCACATAGTCTTTCCTGCTTTTCCTGCTCCTCTCTCTCTACCTCTTTTCCTGTTCCTCTCTCTCTCTACCTCTTTTCCTGTTCCTCTCTCTCTCTCTACCTCTGTCCCTGCTCCTCTGTCTCTCTCCTTCCCTGTTCCTCTCTCTCTCTCTCTTTCCATGCACCTCTCTCGCTCTATCCCTGTCCCTGCTCCCTTCTCTCTACCTCTTTCTGTGTTCCTCTCGCTCTCTCTCTCTGTCCTTGCTCCTCTCTCTCTCTCTCTGTCCTTGCTCCTCTCTCTCTCTCTCTGTCCTTGCTCCTCTCTCTCTCTGTCCTTGCTCCTCTCTCTCTCTCTACCTCTTTCTGTGTTCCTCTCGCTCTCTCTCTCTGTCCTTGCTCCTCTCTCTCTCTCTACCTCTTTCTGTGTTCCTCTCACTCACTCTCTCTGTCCTTGCTCCTCTCTCTCTCTCTCTCTCTCTCTCTGTCCTTGCCCCTCTCTCTCTCTCTCTCTGTCCTTGCCCCTCTCTCTCTCTCTCTCTCTCTCTTTGCCCCCTCTCTCTCTCTGTCCTTGCCCCCTCTCTCTCTCTGTCCTTGCCCCTCTCTCTCTGTCTCTGTCTCTGTCTCTGTCTCTGTCTCTCTCTGTCTCCTCGATGCAGGGAGGAGTGCCCTCTGAAACACCGCAGACAGCTGGAGGTAGCACTACATTAGAAGTATGGCTGAGGGGATAGTATCTGTGCATTACTTGTTTTCCCTGTCTGTGTCTACAGCCTACTACAGATTCGTAGTGCAACAATGTCCGATCCTCACCATTCTCTTCACCTGAAAATGTATTTGAACATGAAATGATTATTTAAGGGATGTTGATGGACTGCCACATGCCACATAAAGTAGTATACCTATATCTCCACAGTGCTGGACAAGCTCCATATGTAAACAGTATCCAAGGAAATGGTTCGTAAAGCAAAACAGTGAATTTAAAACCGAATTTAAAACCCAAATAAAAATCAGAACGCATGGAATATGTTAATAGAAGCATTCCGGATTCCGTCTGAACCTCATGTAAGACCATGCGACACTGATCAACAGTACAGGCTTATACTGCTTTACCATTGGTATAAGCAGCAAGAGTCTGTATCTCCAATGCATTTTTCCCTCCTCCTCCTCCTCCTCTTCCCTGGCTGACCTGGATACCAGTTCTGTCCTGGATACTAGTTTGATTCTCTCAGCGCCACTTACCCTAGTTCCTATTGGACTATGCTCCACTTACACCCCCTCCCCTTCCTGGAGACATCTCAAAAGTGTTGTGCTCCTGTTCTCACCCGTATATCTACTCCACACTCACACACACACACCCTGGAATACACACCACATCATATCCCCGACTTGTGAACAACCAAACAAATACAATAAAAATGACTTGACTTGAGGATATGCAGGGATGGAGGGATGCTGATGAAGTGGAAAACAGGAGAGGGCAAGATAGGGACATGGAACATTCTAACGTGACATTACAGGAGGAAGGCAGCCTGAGCCTCCCAATAAAGAACATCAAACAAACATCTCATCAACATTTAGGGGAGACTATAGCTACTGACAGCTAGGTGGGAATTAGCTTGGTGTTGTAATCTATGTTGGGTGGGGACACGTCGTTCTCTGTTAGGGGACTTTGCGTTCTCTTTTTTAGAATATCAAATCAGTCCATGTAGTTGAAAGCCTGTCGGAGCATCCGGCAGTATCTTTCATAGCTAAGTCCAAGAAGATCTCAGGTGGATGAGGACACTGACTATAGGCTACACACAGTCGCCAACGTGATAAATATATCCCCACTATCTGAGATGATCTCTAGTTCAGATAAATCAGGAGTCTAAAAAGCAACAGCAAGACAGTGTCAGGCAATATGGGCCTGTGCCTGTCCTCTGGACAGGAGGAGAGGAGGGGGGATGAGAGGGGGATGAGATAAAGGAGAAGAAGAAGAAGAAGAAGAAGAGGATGTACTTACTGGATAGGGCCTTCTCGTAGCTCTTCCCCATGGCCACGAAGTTCCGCAAGCATGGGTTGAACTGCTCCATGATGGACTGAAAAGAGAAATAAAAGGTTTTTTAGTCGACACGAGCAGCAATAAGCCTAGCAGAAGCAGCGCTCTGCTCTACTCTGTAGTCTGCACGCTCACACACTCTCTCTCACGCACACCACACACACACACGTGCGCTCACACACTGCAAGCAAGCCAACCAGGAGCATAGCCAGCCAGGAGCATAGCCAACCAGGAGCAAGAGTGTAGATGGGAATCATTTACACTCATTCAGAAATCGGAAAGAAGGAGCGAGGGAGCGAGAGAGCGAAAGGGAGAAGGAAAGAGAGGTGGAGGTAGCAGGTGTCTTTGCACCTCACCTCTCCCAAAAATAAAACCCAGCTGTGGGTGTTGATGCCCGGGAAGCCCCGCTCAGCCTGGCTCTCTTTCGCTCTCCCTCTTCCTCTCGCTCTCTCTCTCTTCCTCTCCCACTTCCGCTCCCTCTCTTTCAACTGTGTCACGTAATTTGTGCTAATTACTTTTTTTGTGGAGCAGGAGCATATGAGGGAAGGAGGGATAAGAAAGGAGGGAGGAGAGGAGGAGGGAGGAATAATTGGGTGACCACAAAAAGAGAGAAGGAGGAGGAGAGTAGAGGAGAGAGCGAACTTGAGCATGGTGCTGCTGGCCACAGCAGGGGTTTTGAGTCCCACATGGAACACTGTATAATGAATATGATAAATACAGCTCGATGTGGGTAAATAGTAGTCTGGGTACCAGTCTGTTTAGCTATTATTCCATGGCATATGACACAAAGTGCAAAGAGCGGAATGTTAGCAAAACAGACTGGTACCCAGGCTAGGTACAGTATATTGTGTTTGTTCGAGGAGATCACCACATGAAAAAATACTATAAGTATACTATGATATAAATACTATGGTATTCACTGTAGTGTTTTTGCTAACTTTACTGTAGTATTTACTGTAGTATTTACAGTTAACTATAGTATAAATACTGTAATAAAGAAAAATGTAGTATATACTATAGTGATTAATGTGGTGTTTTTGCAGATTGTAGTATACTGTAGTATTTACTGTAGTGTTTTTGCAGGCTGTACTATACTGTAGTATTTACTATAGTGTTTTTGCAGACTGTCCTATACTGTAGTATTTACTGTAGTGTTTCTGTGGACTGTAATATAATGTAGTATTTACTGTAGTATTTTTCCATGCATTACTGTAGTATTTACTATAGTGCTTTTGTTTTATTATCTTTGACATAGAATTGGAGGCCTTCTCCTTCAGGAAACCTACTGGAGATATTTTCCATAACCGGTAGGTAGGCAGGCAGGTAAGTAGGCAGGCAGGCAGGTAGGCAGGCAGGGAGGCAGGCAGGCAGGCAGGCAGGCAGGTTGGTAGGTAGGTACAGTGAGGGAAAAAAGTATTTGATCCCCTGCTGATTTGGTACGTTTGCCCACTGACAAAGACATGATCAGTCTATAATTTTAATGGTAGGTTTATTTGAACAGTGAGAGACAGAATAACAACAAAAAAATCCAGAAAAACGCATGTCTAAAATGTTATAAATTGATTTGCATTTTAATGAGGGAAATAAGTATTTGACCCCTCTACAAAACATGACTTAGTACTTGGTGGCAAAACCCTTGTTGGCAATCACAGAGGTCAGACGTTTCTTGTAGTTGGCCACCAGGTTTGCACACATCTCAGGAGGGATTTTGTCCCACTCCTCTTTGCAGATCTTCTCAAAGTCATTAAGGTTTCGAGGTTAACGTTTGGCAACTCGAACCTTCAGCTCCTTCCACAGATTTTCTATGGGATTAAGGTCTGGAGACTGGCTAGGCCACTCCAGGACCTTAATGTGCTTCTTCTTGAGCCACTCCTTTGTTGCCTTGGCCATGTGTTTTGGGTCATTGTCATGCTGGAATACCCATCCACAACCCATGTTCAATGCCCTGGCTGAGGGAAGGAGGTTCTCACCCAAGATTTGACGGTACATGGTCCCTTTGATGCAGTGAAATTGTCCTGTCCCCTTAGCAGAAAAACACCCCCAAAGCATAATGTTTCCACCTCCATGTTTGACGGTGAGGATGGTGTTTATTTTTATTTATTTTTATTTTTGGTCATTTAGCAGACGCTCTTATCCAGAGCGACTTACAGGAGCAATTAGGGTTAAGTGCCTTGCTCAAGGGCACATCGACAGATTTTTCACCTAGTCGGCTCGGGGATTAGAACCAGCGACCTTTCGGTTACTGGCACAACGCTCTTACCCACTAAGCTACCTGCCGCCCTGTGTTCTTGGGGTCATAGGCAGCATTCCTCCTCCTCCAAACACGGCAAGTTGAGTTGATGCCAAAGAGCTCGATTTTGGTCTCATCTGACCACAACACTTTCACCCAGTTCTCCTCTGAATCATTCAGATGTTCATTGGCAAACTTCAGACAGCCCTGTATATGTGCTTTCTTGAGCAGGGGGA